CCCCTTTGCACACAGAAGGACAAAAATGAAGGTAAATCAAAGAATAAACTTACTGTTCCCCAGGGTCCACGTCTCTCAAGCCAATATACACAATATCCTTGGCAGAAATGCAGGGAGTCACCCAGGAGAATCCTGGCAGTTCAGGGATCTGAAATTACAATGTTTCCATTTGATTACATGCATGTGTGTGTCTCTCTAGCAAATCTTACATTTAGCTCTTACCCTGCTTTGTAAAAAGTAACAATTAAGTAACAGTTAAGGACACTAGCTGGATTGCTTATATCTTCTACTTAGAATATGCATTTAGAGAAAATCATTTAAAATAATACAAATTAAGAAGGAGTTGCCTGCTTCCCCTTTGCTGAACTGTCCTTCCCAAAGGGCAGCCCTACCCTGAACCACTGGCATTTTCCTGCTCTGTGCCCTATTTCTGCTGGGCCCCCCTCTCCCAGGACTTTTCTGTGAAGAAATGAGTGTGCTGAGACTTTGGTGGCTTCCTTCTTTACCTCCCTTTCTCAATAAGGCCTAGAGGATGACCTAGAACAGCCAAGAGAATCTTTTGACCAGGTCCTTGATCGTTCTTCAAACCATGATATGATGATACCTGCTTTCTCCCAGGGCCGAGCTTAGTTGTTCCCATGTGCTAGCTTAGTTGTTCCCATGTACTAGCTAAACATCTTGCAAGTTTATAAACCCATCACTTGGTCGTTAGTTTATAAAATGTTACTTCTGAGCATTTATTTTGAGACCCTTGCATCATCATATAGACCAACAGACTACAACGGTATCAACAAAAACTTGTACTGAAAATTTGTATCTTTTAGTAAAGAAATTTTTAAGGAGCAAGGAGATACTTCTTTCTCTTGTGTCTTTGCTAGACACTAGATTTTAAATAATAAACCATTTTAAGCATATTTTTAAAGTCCATTTTCAAAAAAGCTCTGTAATGTAAAGAAACATTTTATAAGAATGTAAGATTCGGCATATGATCTTGGGCAAGTTGGTTAACCGCTCAGCCTCTGCTGACTTGTTTATAAAAGATTACTCTCTGCCCTGCCTACTAAAAACAGCAGTTTTAGAATCCAAAGGAAAGATCTACATGAAGCCAGTTGGCAGTCTATCAGGATATAGTCACTTTTATCGATCAACCCTTTACTTGCTAGCAACAGAGAAAAGGGTTCGTGATTACACCAAGAATATGATGGCACAGAGGTTATGACTTCCAGAACTTCTGCCTCCTGAAATTCTAGTAAAGAGTATTCTTTCCTGATAGAACACCAGCCAGCCTTTTACCTTTCCTTTCAGTTCCTTCAGGAGGAAAGACACAGGCTGTCCATGCAAGTTCCCACTTGTGGTCGTCAGCGGAGTGTTGATGTCAGTGTGAGCATCCACCCAAATGACCCTGAGATCCGGGTGGACCCTGGCATGGCCAGAGATGCTTCCGATCGCCAGACTTTGGAGAAAAACATTTTATGTAAATATCAGGTTTGTAGCATCATTACATACATCATATTAACTCAGTGCTCCCACTTGGTTTTTCTTTGCGTGAATGAGGCTGATATTTCTAGTAGGTTTAAATGAGAGATGGCAAACATAACAATGAAAAATAGCTCACACTTCATATTTATGAACAAGTTGTATTTATATCCATAGCATTACTATAAATATGATGATGTGTTTTCAAAAGACATCTTGTAATAAAATGACAAATTGTAGTTTAGCTAAAAAATTAATTAGTGTAAACAACCCAGCCACCAAGAAGTTCCTTAGCACAAGACACTGTTTAATTCTTACAGTTAGATTTGGAGCATTTTCTACAGACTTATCTCTCTTGATAAATTCTTAGTTCTCCCAAGTGAATGGCATCCTTGCATTTGTCTAGGAATCCAGCCCTTTTATAACTGAGGAGCATCGTTCAGAAGTTCTACGTCCCCGTCAGCCAGCATGTCCACGTGGGCATCACTCTGTTCAACACTCGACCCTCTGCTCTACTTTCTACCCTCCTGCCAGGCACGTACGACCCCAGGAACCTACAGATTCATCCCAAGGACTCTGGGCTCCACCATTTTACCTAAATGGAAGAGCTACGTAATGTGTTGCACAAAGATGAAAGATTAGGATTCACTGTACACTATTCCCACTTGGGGACATTCATGTATTTTCAGAGAATTATGAAGTTTCAGACTCTCAAAATGGAAACAGCCATATCTGATGTTCAGGTGTTGGTTATTCAGCTTCAGGTTCTTGTCATTTCACCATTT